TATATTTTTGGAAATCCCTTATTATTTTTAACCAACTTTGCGTATCTTTTTAAAAGATATTTTCATGGTGAAATTTTTAAGCAGTTTATATCGTAAAATTTTAGAAATTATAAGTGATTTGCTTATGTAATGTTGAAAAATGCTCTTATTTGTACAAAAATGAGAAGAATGTTCGTGGAAAATATTCATTTTCAGAAAAAGTGTTCTATTTTATAGCATTGTCTTTTTTATATCGAAAGAAAGTCCTATTTTTAACTGGGCTGGCAGCAAAGGGAGACATCTGGTTGATAGGATTTAGGTTGCGTAAGTAATTAGATACATTTAATAATAGCTCATTATACTTAATCTAACATTAAAAATATGATAAGTTTTTTATGCAATGTGTGTTCAATATTCCCAGTCAGAAGTGTTGGTCTCATTCATGGGAATAAAAAATGTGTCGTATGTTAATGAATAGAAAACTTAACATATGATAAAATATTAATAAATAACCTTAATTTTAAATTCTAGTTAGGATTACCTGGGGTAATTCCTGATCAAAAAATGCAAACATCTATTTTGTGAAAAAACTATTCAAGATAGAATTTTAATATTTACTGGAAATTTGAGGCTATATGGGATGAGTCCTATGCTACCTTCTTTGTTTGGAAATCTAATTAGAATTTAAAAGATTTTAAATGTTTAGTGATCAGGAATTACCCCTTCTCTTGATCATTTCTGGGGTAATTACAGATCACCAGTTTTTATAGTAAATGGGCTGTTTAGAAATAATTATACAATGGTAATTAACAAATAAGATATTAAGATCAAACAAATAAGCCAAAAAGATATTTTTAAGCAGCTATTAAAATGTTTTATTTAAAAGATTAACACTTCAGCTCTGGCAGCAGCTCTCACACTAAAATTTTCATTTTCAATCTTTAAAAGAAATTTGCCATTTTTGCTTTCTAGAAGCTTAGTATCCTTTTTAGGCTTATAATTTCTCACCATATTTATAATAGGTTAATTTATCAACTTAAAAATTATTCTAGCGGTGTACACACATAAAAATAAGATAGAAGAAAGGTAAGACAAGCTAGAAATGGTGCATATCAGAACACATTTGTCTTGTATACAGTTAAAAACAAATTTTGTGATTATAGTTAAAATATATTTTATAGTTGTTCCACTTGATAAATATGAACTGTTATATAAGAAAAGACAATTTACTTTTTATTAGCTATTTTTTATACTATAAGAAGAAATGAAAGTGATCAGGAATTACCCTAGTGATCAATAATTACCCCAGTGATCAATAATTACCCCATCTTTAGGGGGCAACATTTGATATAGTTTCCTATAATCAATTATAATGTTTACAGTAGATGTGAAACAATTTAGCAAAAGCTTACACTATTTTTATATCAAAGAAAAAGAAAGTAACTCAAAATATTTATTATTAAGAGAAGGAGGGGGATCTTTGCAGAACTGTGCACAATTTGAAATCCATCTTTGAAATGGAAAATGCAGAAAGCATTTTAAAAGATACTTATTTTGTTAAATTAAGCAAAAACCTATTATTAAGTAAATGTAGTTATACTTTATAAAGTGTATAAGCTTTCTTGTCCATGTCTCAAATTTAAAAAAAAAAAATTTTTTTAAATAAAACTTAGGTGATCATTATTTACCCCAGAAACAGAGTGATCGTGAATTACCCAGGGTTACTCTACTAATTTTTCTTTGTTTTTCTAACAATAAATATTTGTAGTAGTAGTCGATATTGAAAATAATTGTCTACCATTGATATCCAATTTTTATAATTGTGTTACAATTAATATTTCAATATGTCACCACAATATTGTAATTACTTTGATATCATTATTTCAAATTTCTATACCATTGATACTTATTGATTTCCACACCAAAATAAAATTGGTGTCTTCCAAAATGAAAACCCCTTTGGTGCCATGGCAATTACAGTTGATGGGAGCAATATTGAAATACTATATTTTCCTGAATATTTTAAAATCAAAATATAAAATTTTCACTAAGGAAAAGCCGTTTATAATGGTTCAAAAGCTAACCTTAAATATGTTTATTAAGTTCAAGAATCAAGCTGAAATAAGTACTACCTCTTCATAAAGTAATGTTTTGTTTTCTTCATATTTTTGACTATCCAAATATGGAGTTATTTTATAACCGATTTTGAACCACCAACCCAATTTTGGGTTTACTACTACTAATGTTCAACTCAGTAGCCTTGTAATTTTGAACCCAATTCAGAAAACAAAGGAACTTCTGGATCAAGAATTGGGAGAAATTTTGCTTTCAGGATTTTTTGATGGAACTAACTCGCATTTCCGTTATATAGACTGGAAAACCTCCCACAGTTAACCTGACAGCAAGTTGACTCTATCCCATGATCTGTCTACCACTGAGTATATTTTACGTTAGCCATGTGGTCAGTACAAGCCGGATGCAGAATTTGTACCGACCAGCTCTTTCTGGGATTTGATGGAAAGTGAACGCTTTATCCCCTGAGCCATCAGAGCTCAAAATTTGGAGTCAGTCTCAATCTGCAAAAATATGGTTGCAGTAGTTTTGTCTGAAGAGTGGATTAAAAGTTGAACCCTCCAATGTTAAATTTTTCTTTTACCCATGTTTCCGTGTTTGAGCAATTTATTTAAAAAATCAACAAAAAAATAATTTTTTTTTTTCATTTTATAAATTTAGTTTGTCCAAACCATTTAAAAAAAGTTTTTAATACTGACTTGACAGGAAAAAGTCAACATGAATTGCAACCACTATACATAGAACAATGCATTGCAGCCACTTTAAAACTTAGGTCTTGAGAAATTCATCTATACTTATAAAAAATACTTTTTCTTTAAATACAATATGCTATATATTAAATTAATGTTTTCTTTTCAGATTTTTTTCTGCTGAAAAGCATACACTTCCCAGTTTTTCATGACACTTGAACTTAACCAACCATAATAGCCACAAAAAGGTTGTCTAACATCTTACAAATAGTTTCTACTGCTACTTGTTGAAGTAAAGAAGTTTCATTGCAAATGACTAATAACAATGAATGGTGCTTTAATATGATGTTTCTATGTTATTCATTCATTCCAATGTAAATCTTAGATGCATTGATAACTTAAGATAATTTATTTTACACTTAAGTCAATATAAGTTTTCAATCACTATGAGTTTAAAAGTACTTAATGCTCATGCTGATCCCAAACCTTATTCCTGTAGTGTGTGTAATAAAAGTTTTTCCTTTTGGAGTTATCTGACTGAGCATATTCGCATTCATACTGGTGAGAAACCTTATTCTTGTGGTATTTGTGATAAAAGTTTTTCATTTAAGAGTAATCTGACTGAGCATAAACAGGCTCATGCAGGTGAGAAACCTTATTCTTGTAGTATATGTAATAAAAGTTTTTCATTGAAGACAATTCTAACTAGACACAGTCGCACTCATACTGGTGAAAAACCGTACTCTTGTAGTATATGTAATAAAAGCTTTTCATTTTGGAATCATCTCACTGAGCATAATCGCGTTCATACTGGTGAGAAACCTTATTCTTGTAATGTATGTAATAAAAGTTTTTCATTTAGAAGTGTTCTGTATGAACATAAACGGTTTCATACTGGTGAGAAACCTTATTCTTGTAGTGTATGTAGCAAAAGTTTTTCAAAAAATAGTGATTTAACTAGGCACATTCGTACTCATACTGGGGAAAAGCCTTATTCTTGTAGTGTGTGTAATAAAAGTTTTTCAGAAAATAATGATTTAGTTAGACACAGTCGCATTCATACTGGTGAGAAACCTTATTCTTGTAGTGTATGTAATAGAAGTTTTTCATGTAGGAGTAATTTGACGAAGCATAAAGACGTTCATACTGATAAGAAACCTTATTCTTGTAGTGTATGTAATAAAAGTTTTTCATGTAGGAATTATCTGACAAAGCACAAAGGCGTTCATACTGATCAGAAACCTTATTCTTGTTGTATATGTAATAAAAGTTTTTCATATAGGCGAAATATGATAAAGCATAAAGACTTTCACACTGATAAGAAGCCTTATTCTTGTAGTATATGTAATAAAAGTTTTTTATCTAAGAGTAATCTGACAAAGCATGAAGGCGTTCATACTGATAAAAAACCTTTTTCTTGTAGTGTATGTAATAAAAAGTTTTCATATAGGCGTAATCTGATAAAGCATAAAGATGTTCATATTGATAAGAAACCTTATTCTTGTAGTGTTGTAATAGAAGTTTTTCACTGAAGAAAATTCTGACTGTTCTCAGCTGCGCTCATATTTGTTAAAAACCTTGTTCTTGTAGGGTATGCAATAAAGATTTTTTTATTTAGGAGTAATCTGACTCAGGAAAGTCACACTCATATTGGTGAAAAACCTTATTCTTGAAGTGTATGTAATAAGACTTTTTTGCAGAAGCCGCATTTATGGGCATAATCTCATTTAATCTGGAGAGAAGCCTTATTCTTGTAGTGTGTGTAGCAAAGTTATTTGGGAATGTTTACATTATCTGTTTACAGTTTTGTTCATACTGCTAAATAGTTTTATTTTTATAAAAAAGTGTAATAATAGTTTTATTTAACATTATAATGGTCTAGCTGTCCACATTCCTTTTCATTCTGCTTAGATATCTCACTCTTGTAGTTTTATGAAGAATGTTATGTGATGAATAAAAATGTTTCAATTGAAACGTTTGAATGTTTAACAATCTTATTTTTTAAGTTGGTTTTATGAAACACGATTAATAGGAAAGATTCTATTCAATCAGGGTTAAGAAGGTAATAAATACTGAGTATGCCAAATACCGAACATTGGGCGTCAAGCTGATGCTGAGTGTTCTGAATGGGGGGAAAAACATTGTTAAAATGCCTAAGCATTTACGTATACTATAACTAACTCGACTCAGCGGCGTCAGAGCTGTTGAGAGGTCAAGATTTATTATCGCCCTTCCCCTCCCAGCTTTGGGGTGCATGAGCAAATGCCTCTGTTTTCTTGTCAGTCGAATGCGAAATCCCCAGTGTATATTCCAAAAGCATGTGTGGTACTCATCAACCGTACCTCGCCACACGATTGGCGATCGCAACGCTCGAATACGCCATCTGGAGAGAGATGTGCAACTCAGCTACGTTTTGAAAAAGATTCTCAATTTTCGGCCTTTTTTCCGCTCTATGAAATCGAACCGAAACATTTCTCGGAATTTTCGCTGATCAAGGGGATCAAATAGCAAATGATAACTTTATTTCTCTTGCTAATTTCGTCGTAGGTGTAGTTACTTCGTCATTGGCTAGCTAATGGCCTTCTCGCCCTGTTCTATAGGTTCCTCAGCTATATAGTTATATTCCCCAGTTGCTTAATCATTGAACTTAGCTTGGGGATCATTCACTAATTACGTATTTTCATATGGGTTTCCAGAGAAGTCACAAATCATAAAGCTTCTTCACCTCAAGATTTCAATCAAGAAGAAAGTTCTTTGTCAGTAAATAGTTATTTTATCATATGATCATATTAAGTCCTGGATAATTATTTTACCTTTTTTCAATGTATACCTAAAGAACTCAGCAATAGGACACACAAAAAAAAGTAGTATTAGAGCTAATATCGTAATTATATATTTTATAAAATGCCTAAAAAAAATTTTTGAGTACTTAAAATGTGCTTATTTTTGATGAAAAATTTGGCTAAGCATCCTGAAAACTTAAGAAAATAAACAAAAAATCAAATGTGGAAAATATCCAAAAATTTATGATTTTGGGAAAGGTTTAAAAATAAATCTATGGAATGTGGGATTTCTCCCCTGAATGGGTGGAAATTTTATCTCTAGATCAAACGAGATTTTTTTCCTTTCAAATCTCTATTAATGCCGACCGGCTTGTGTAGAGGTCAGGGAACCGACCTTGCATCCGGAATTTCCCTAAGGAAAACGCCGAAAAATTCGAAAAAACTCTCCAGAATATTAGTAAATCTTTCAGAAACCAAACACGTCAAACATTTGAAGAAAAATTCCTCAATAATTTTTAACTTCTATTATCAACAAACTTGCAACTGATGACTTCAATTTCGGGATGGCATGCTGTTACAGATGTGTGTAATACGGTAAAATACATTTTTTCTGACTTCTATTCATTATACATCAAAGTGAAGTCAACATTGCTTTCTTCATTCCAATGAATAGATGTGAATTCAGAACTATAATAGTTATAGAATATTCTTCGTTATAGAATAATATATATTTCTTTATCAATATAATTCGGAAAACAATAAAAAATCAATCCAAATTATTTGAAATAGTGTCATTTGTGCTGATTATTAAAAATTTTTTTATCGTTTTCTTGGTATTTTTTAGTTTTGAAAGAATAATTTCAACTAGAATTCAGCTATTCTGTTTTTAAGCTACATACAAAAATTCATTCCTAGAGATCTTGCTGTGTGGTGTGTTATCAAAAAGTAATAAAGGGATAATCTATGTAGATATAATTTGAAAATAAAATTTTCAAACGAAGAACATTTCATTTGGAATTCTCTGGATTTATAAAGAAGGTGAGTGTTATGATTTTTATAATAAAAGATTTGCTTGCAATTAATTTTTTGGTCCCGCAGTGGACTGATCGTTAATACACGGTTCCCAGCAGATCACCGATGTCAGGCATCACTGGCTGCGGTCAGTGTGCGGGTGGGTGACCACTTGGATCAGTCTGCGTAGGGACCGAGGGTGTGCGGTATGGGTCCTCGTTAAACTGTTCTACCGTAAAGTGCTCGACTTCGCTTGCAGGTCGTCGGGCTACCGAAGCGGGGGTGCCATCCCCTCTGCTGAGGATCAAAATTGTGATGGCATGTCTTCGGATCATCCTCAGGGATGTTTCCCAGACCGTCGCCAATAGCCTATTGTGCAGCTCTAGTACAACGTAAATGAACAAACCAATCAATGAATTAATTTTTTTCCTTATTTGATGATAGTGCTCGACAGAATGGTTTTTTACGTCTGATTAAGAACTAAAAGAATAAAAAAAGGAAACAATATGAAAGTTTTTCATTTCAATATGAGGAATTTTTAAAATCGTTTTTTTTTATCCTAAGAATTCTTTGTTTCATGATTTTTAGATAAAAATTGTTGTCAAAATACTTTTTTTGAAAAATTAAATGGTATAACATTATGTGTTTATATATACTTCTTGCATATTCCAATGTTTGAAGTAATATGATTCAGAAAAGTATAGAATAAAAATTCGGTACTTCTGTATTAACGCCGCCGCAGCTACAGATCTGGCAGTTTTTAAGTGCCGCCAATCTACACCTAAAATTTTTGAGACAAATCATAAAATAAAGCACTTTATTTAAAATCAAAGTAGTCTATCGGATTTTCGTGGGAAATGGGCAGATATGAAGTTTAACATAGATTCAAAAGAAACTCTTATTTTCGCTCACCTGATGATGTCGTCATAACTCTAATAAATAGGATTCCAAATGAGATAACATTTCCAAAGCGTACGTTTACCAAGATAAAGTTTCAAGTCATGGAAATTGGTACATTTTTGCTTTTTTGGTAAAATATTTCGCTCGTGAAAGAATAAAATTGCATCTTGTTTTGTTTTTTGCAAATCCCATAGACGAATTTTCATAGCATTAAAAAATGGCGACAGAAAAGAATTGTTTTTGTTTGTTTCGTAAGCATTCTTTATTTTACGTTTCTTAGTTTCTAAATAATGATTTTCATTGAAACTTGAAATTTTTTAATAAAAATTTTTGTCAAAAAACTTTTCTTACGAAATTGAATTTCATAAAATTATGAGGCTTATGTATACTTTTTTTTTCATTTTAATTTTTGAAGTAATATGATTCTTAAAACTATGGAATGTAAAGTTTAAATAGGCCTTTCATGTTATATCATTAAATTTAGTAAAACTATTTCTAGGGCATTAGGTTTTAACTCTTATAAGAATATACATATTTTTTTTTCTGTTTATGTACAAATATTTTTCCGATGTGTTTTGGATGTTCCTCCTCTAAAAAGAAGAAATACCATTTTGTTTTCGTTTGCATAAGAAAGAATGTCAAACATTTTTCTTTTTTAAATTGAAAAAGCCGCAATAAAGAAGGAACGTTACAATGCTACACGCTACATTAAAGACGTATCTAGAGTAACTAAATGACTGTGCATATAGAAATCGTATGTATTCGTCTTATACAACAAGCCCCCTGTAGTTCGTTGCGATCGCGAATCGTAAATATCATCATTGCCGACATGGTAAATTATTCGCACTGAGAAAAAATTCTTTGCATAGCTTTTAATAATAAATTAAAATAAATATGCTTTAAAAAGATGTTAAATTTACCAGAGTTTTGCCTTTTTGAAATTTTAGTCACCAGTAGCAGCCAGTTAAATTAGATTGGCGATTAAAATGGGCTGCAGGTGGCGTAAGGCAGCCCTACCTATGGCAACACTTCGCATGCTGTCCCCATTAGCGTGTGGAGAGTCATAAAGGAAGGAAGGAAGTCAGTTTCTCTCTTTATTTTCATATAGATTAAAACCTTTAAGTTGGAAAACTATATGGAACTGAAAACTACATTAAACATCGTTCTAAAGAAAAGCATTACAGAAATNCTTGTAAATAACTGTGTATATTAAATGTTGTGATGTCTCCAATTTACTTCGTTTTTATTTATCCAAAATCGCACATAGTAGGAAGATAGAAAACCTTCCCTTACAAAACATCGTTTTAAGGAAAAGCATTACAGAAATTTTAAAGAATGTTTTTATTAAATAAAAAGGGAAAATATCGTAGTACATGGCATGAACCGGTCTGTCCCCAGATGGCGTATTTGAATTAACACCCGCATGCTCTTGCGTGAGTGAGAAGGACTTTTAAATTTGGAGTTAAAAAGCGCCATCTATGGTTACTGAAGCTTTAATCTTCGATATGTTAGTCAAGTAGACATGGACAAAAATTAGCGTAAACAAACTGCTATATTGGTTTACGTTATTATATCTAACTTTTTATTTGTTATGTTTAAAATACTCTTAATTTTGACTAAAATGATGAATAGTGTATTCATAGTTCAATATTAAGTTCATTTTCATAAAGAATGTCTTATTTTATTGCGCTATCTTTATATTCAAAGAAAGCCTCATTATTAACTGGGAGAATAAAAAGCAGCAAAAGAAGGAAACATTATCTTCGTAGTAAAAGTGGATAATACTCATACTGCGTAAGTAATTAGTACATTAAAAAGACCCTTTTTTTCCTATTTAAGATCTAAATTATACCATTTAAAACCTAAGTTATGTTGCAGTGCGTTTAATCTTCACTGACAACTGTATTTGTTACTGTCCCATTTATATGTCATCATATGCCAATAATCAGAAATTCATAAGTTGACATATGATAAAACAGTACCTTTTGGCTTGCAGGGTTTAATCACTATTGAGTTTTTAAATTTATTTAATTTTTATTTTTAAAAATTAAAATGATATTTTCTTTTTTTTTTAAAAAATGGGGTATAAATTTGTGGTGACTTTTCTTTTGCTAACCAAAAAGTAACTATGAAACATTGTTAGGAGTATTTAAATTACACTTACAAATTTTTCTTTATTTTAGCTAGCAATAAATATTTACAGTAATTAATAAAATTTCGAAATAACACCTACAGATGTTACTCCCCTTGAGTTTTCTGTGAGAACTTTTTTTTTCTTTTCAAATTTGTGTACCATTCAACTCTGGTAGATTTCGATATTGATTTCTGCATTGAAATAATCGCCAGGTTTTGATTACTTTAGACAGTGACTCGCTAGAAATTATAAAAATTCCAGAATGGGGGGGGATTTTTGTATCATGATCTGTTGCAAATGAGTCGCCAAGTCTTGGCAACTTCTGGGTCCTGGCTACAAAAACAAAACGAAAACACAGAAAGGAAATTACTTAAAAGGTACAACTCGCAACCACCCTCGATTAAATATCTACACTTTTTTTTAACCAGTTTCCAAGTTTAAAATCTATTTGGAAGCTTGGCTACTGTAGTTGGCGTGACAGATTATGCTACAAAATGTTCCCCCAGAATGAGACCCATTAGAAGGGTTAAATACATGCGCAAGTAAGCCTCAATTTTTTTTTCTTCAACATAATTTTCTCAAGTTGAAATCCTTGTATTTGTTAATCTTTGTCAAGTAAATTCTTAATTAAACCAATATATAATTTTTTATCATCTAGTTAGTATCATTTTTTAAAATTTATTTCCAATTCATTTTTAGAAATTTTTAAACTATTGTAAAAACAAAATTATAAATCATTTTTATTGAAAAAGCGTACAATAAAAGATTAAGAACTGCATTTGAAATTTCAATAAGTATAATTTTCAAGTATAATTGTGGAAATATTGATGATATAAAATTCAAATATGTGTTATTAGTTAGTTTAAAATGATTCAAAAATATATATTTATTAATGTAACGTTTTGAATTATATTATGCAATATTCTGTAACAAATAACTTAGGTACAAGTTAATAGATTTAGAATTTCATATAGTAATTTTTTAAAAATGTCTAGATTTTTATTTATATATATATCAGGGGTCTGTCCAAATCCGTTTAGCGGTATCTTCACAAATTCAGCTTTAGGAAAAATAGTAGTTTCACAAAATATTTTTCTTAAAACTTTATTTTTGTATCCCTTAAGAAACGGCAAATCCATATTGTGAGCATATTTTTGTGTTGATTTTTTAATGTAACTAATCGGCTGCGCCCCCTGCTCGCTAACGCTCGCCAACCCCCGAAAATTGCTACGCAATCTTATATGGTTTGCTTCGCTCGCGACTAACTTAGCTCCATTGCAAATGCACAAAATTCTAAGAATTCTCAACAATCATTCAAATCCATATAACAACTTTTTTTTGAAAAAAAAGTTGCATCTTTTTAATAAATACTAAGTCATTAAAATAAATTTGAATTCAAATAAATGACATGTAATTCGTTAAACCTATTAGAAATGTGCTGTAATATAAAATCTTAAGATAAAATTTCTGAAACTGATATCTCTTTAAAAAGGTTAAAATTTTGGCTATAATTAAGTCTATTAAAAATTGAAATAAGTGAATTGCAATGGAAAAACCTACATAAACGAATAAATTCTAGTAAAAGAAATAAATTCGTGATATAAATCAAAAATCGTCAAATAAATTCGTAATATATAAATTCGTGAAAAAAAGCGCTTTCGACAAAATACTAAAATAGAGATCTATCGACAAAGACTACTCACTTCTGCCTAGCTTATGCTATCTCTGGTTATTTCAGTTTCCTCTTTTAAAAGCGCTATCTGTTGAGCCATCTCAGCTAGATTTGGCATGTGACATTTTTAGCGGCAATCATTGGTCGATTTTCTAGCGTTGCCGTTCGGGGATTTGTAATGAAGCTTTTTTTTGTCGCCGTGTGAGAGAAATATATATATAGATTTTTAATTTTTCACAAATTATGTCTACATTTTCACTAAATAGGTACCTCTCTGAAAAACCTAGACAGACCCCTGTATATGTATATATATATATGAGATATTTGATGATTTTGCAGTTCTTTATGCATTCAGTTTATACTTTAATCACAAATGTAATAAACTTAAAAGTTTAAATTTAGAAATTAAAGAAATTGCAAAATTAATAATTTATTAAAAATGCTTATTTGTTGAGTTTTTTTTTTTTTCAATTATAGTTGCTAACCAAATTTTTAATCTTTATATATCTGTCTTTTTATGAATTTTGATGAATCACAATAAAGAATAATCAATAACTCATAAAAATGAGGCTAAGAATTAAGAAAGAATTAAGGTTTTCATACAATCTGGCTATTATAGCTTGCAGTCTGTCAAGAGTTCCTCTAAAACTATCTGTTCGTCATTTCTCTTTAATTACGTCACATTATATATTTTTCTTTGTTCCGAATCAGAGCATAGGGCCTCTATCATTGCTCTCCATCTCGTTCTATTTGTGGCCAGATATTTTGTCTCTCTCCATGATTTTTATATTGTCCTGAGGATTCGAATCATGAACTTGAATTTTTCAGGTTTGCGTAGAACATGAACAATATATTTCCTTTTGTGGTTTTTAATTTCCAGATCAATGGGTTTCTGTATTTTTCAAAGGATTTCTGTTTTACGAATTCTATGGAACCACTTGACGCGGAAGATTCTTCATAAGCAGTTGGTAATAAATACTTGAAGTTTTTTCATGTTATAAATATTGCAGTGCCCTGTCTCAGATCCATGTGCAGGGGTCTGTCCAGGCTGAATTTACTACCGTTTGGCGGTACCTTCACAAATTCTACTTTAGGAAAAACAGTAGTTTCGCAAAATACTTTTTCTTGAAATTTTATTTTTGTATCCCTTAAGAAACGATAAATCCATATTTTTACCATATTTTTGTGTTGGTTTTTTAATATAATTTTTAATTTTTCACAAATTATGTTTAAATTTTCACAACCTCTCAGGAAAACCTAGACAGACCCCTGATATAGTAAGAAAGATTTAACATTAGTATAAAAAGTTCTACTTTTTGTTGAATTTGATATATTTTTCCAGAATTTATTGAGAATAGCATAACTGCTTCGGGCTTTGTTTTATCTATTTGGCATGTCTTCATAAGTTTCTCCTTTGTTGTTAATCTTATTTCTGAGATAGGTGAAACTTCTTTTAATTTTTTATTTTTCAAGAATGAATAATTTAATTGTTTAGTATTCATTTTCAAAATTTTAGTTTTATATTGGTTGTTAATGACCAATTTTCTTTGCCTTATGTTTAAAATGTTTATGTTAATTTTTTTTCATGTCTTGAACGATGTTGGATTAGTAAACATAAGTCATCTGCAAAATCAAGATCAGAAAGATATTGTGCATGGTTCCATCTCGCTATTATAGCTCACAACATTCTAGCATCAAACAATCTGGCTATTCTAGCTTGCAGTCTATCACGAAATCCACTAAAGTTATATGTTTGTCATTGCCTTGCAATTATGTTTCTCATATTACATAACACAAAGCTGTTTATTTTTGAAATGATCTATCCATTACTCGTGAAAAAATTCGAAAATTGGTGATAACTAGAAAATATTGCCATCCATCAGACAAATTTTAATTCTTTATTTTACAACTTAATGGAATCATAATGAAATGTAATAGAATCATAATGAAGTAGTTGTGTAAAGATATTTTAATAAGCATTTTGCACTTGTGTCTATTTTCTTAAACACGCATTTTTAATTATGTCCAGAATAAAAATATAACTATCGTTATTTCAATTTTAACATTTCAACTTCATTTTCAAAAAGAAATGCACATCTAGAAATAAAAATAGAAATTAATAAATGGCAGGCTGAAATTAAAGAGTTGCCAATCATTTCGAAAAATAACTGTTTAAAAAATATTAACAGTGATTTTACTTATGTGTAATAACTTAGTCTTATTTGATCACCAATGAACAAGAAAAACAAAGAGTTTAAAAAAATAGTTAAAAAATAAACAGGTGATATAAATTTGCATCTGATACTATCCATGTATGACAGTATTATTTTAAGCTGTTCAAATTTAAAATTAAAAAAAAGAAATTTCTCCATTAGCAATGCTTCCCTCTTCCAGTGTGGAAAATAAACGTGCCTGTTGAGTTCTGTGAGCAAAACTGTAACTAAGCTTTAAATATGAATGTATAAAAATATTTATTTTTTTTACTTTCTATTTGCTGAGGGAAAAAACTTTAATAATTTTGATTAAGAAAGTACAGTTTTACTTGAAACAGGTCTCTGAATCAGTCCCGATTAAAGGCGTTAAGTCCTTTATCAGTTAAAAAAATAATTAAAATGTATTTCAGTTTGCACTAAAGTTTAGTTTCCTTTTCTGTTTTTGCAAAATATTTCATTTCTTCAATTATACATAGTAATGAGGAACCTGCATGCGTTGTTTAATCGCAGAATGTTGACTATTTTAAATAGTCTATATCTTAAAACTCTCTAAATCAGTTTAGAATTAAAAAACCTGCCCCGAATTTTAAAAAATATTTAACTTAAAATTAGCCCAAAACGAAACTAACTTCAAAATGATGCGGGGTTTGCTTATGATGTCAAAGTGAACGGGGAGGGGGGGTTAAGCCAAACTTCCTATCGAGAAAAGTGTTTTTGTTTACAAAAGCGTTTTAATTTGATTTGTATTTTTAAATTTTTTTAATTTCTTTCATGTTTATATCATATATATAGTTTAAATATATATTTAGTGTATAACAGTTGCATCCTCCCCCTTGCGAGAATTTTTGTGGGTACCTTTCAGCATAATGAAATAAAATTGAGGAATGAAAAAATAAATGCTGAAACTACTTTTGAAGTAAATTAATTTTTCTTTATTTATACTGGTTCATTTTTACTAATATTTATCTATTTATTAAAGGTTAAACTGTTGTGAAAGCTTTCATTTAATGAGTTGATCCCAATTAGAGGGAATGGAATGAATGGTATAAGACCTGGAATTACAAGTTTTTAGGTAAATAAAAATTTTTTAAAAATTATTTTTAATTATTAACTTCTAAAATATTTTCTTGATTTTTTTCTTTTTTGAAGAAATGTTAATAATTCTAGACCCCTATCATTTTTTATTTTAACTTTGCTAATTTTTTCTTTTAGATAAAATTAATAAAGGGTATAATAAATAAATAAAGGGTTTAGCTCAATACCCTTCAACATAATGAAATAAAATTGAGGAATAAAAAAATAAATGTTGAAACTACTTTTTTTTCAATAGCTTTTGAAATAAATTCATTTTTACTTATTATCTGTTAACTTCTATTTGTTACTATAGTGTCAACTTCTGAAATATTTTATAAATTTTTTTTTTGAAAAAATTTAAATAATGCTAAAAAACCCTGTCATTTTTTATTTTAAATTTCATAATTTTTTCATCTAAATAAAATTAATTAATTATTTTTTATCTTTAAAAACACTTGTATACCACTGTTCTCTAATAATATAATCCTTTCATTTTAAAGAATAAAAAAAAGAAAGTAAGTGATCTGAACAGCATTTCATGAACATTTTAATTCAGTATATTTAACTATTCATTCAGAGAAGAATAGAACTAAATTAAGTAATTAAGTTACCTACTGTAAAATGNGATGTAGAATTAATAATTATCACATATTGTTTGATAAACAATTTCTTTCTTGATTTGTAGTTTGAAATCACTTTGTTATTGTTTATTTCTTATTTCACCTTTTGCTTTTAAATTATTAAGAAATATTTTGTTGATAATGGTTAGTAATGTTTATTTCCAATGTATACCATAAGTAACAATAGTAATACAATACAACTTTAAATCTATGGTACACAAAATTGATTATATTCCATAGAATTGAAATTATAAAAAAATCATGATTAAAATCAAAAAAATCCGATTAAAATCAAAAAAATCCGATTTTTTTGATTTTTTAAAAAAAATGATGATTTTTATACACCCTGGTCTGAAATTGGTGTCTGTCTTAATAAAATGGCATGATGTTTCATCTTAAAACGCAAAAAAAGGCAGGGTCCCCACGCATCAGGGAGAACAAAAAAACCTGGAATTGTCAGGGAATTTTATTCCAAATATCAGGGAAAGTTGCAATTTTTTTTTACAAAAACCTGGAATATTCCTGTATCATACCTGGAATTTAACCAGTCTTAAAATTGTCAGTAACAGTAATCAGTTACTGAGATTACAGTTAAATAATTCTTACATCTATTACAATTATTTGTTATAAAAATTTCACATTTTAGTCAAACTGAAATGTTCCCATCCTTATTTAATATTATTTTTTTACACAGAAAATCTAATATTTTTCGTATTAAATTTTTAAAGAAATCAAAGTGTTCTATTGAAAATATGGTCTTAATTTTCATTGAAATTTACCTGATATGCCTAGAAAACTCAGGGAATTTATTTATTTATTTAGTGGGAACCCTGTAAGGGAACAAAAGTTCTTTTTGGGGCTTACAATATCAATAATAATTTAATAAAAAAGCAATTGAATTTTGAGAAAAATCATGGGGTGCATATCTCTCTTTTCACTCCCCCCTGAATAAGCCACGGATTACTTATTCAGTTGGTTGTAAAACGATAACCAAAATGTTATTATTTGACAAAATATTTTTGTTTGCATTTTGACATCTTTAAACTTTCTATTGTATGATATCATACATTTTTGTAACTGTATTTTAAATTTATATGTAGTGGTAATCAAAAGCATTATAAACTTAAGTTGGGGAAAAACAAATTCTGCAATTACTTGAAAAATATTAAAATCTTCCAAAAAATCTGAAAAGAATTGCTTGCTTTGATATCTGACAATAAAAAATTACTTTTCAAGATGTGCTATACATTATATAAAAATTAATTTTTTTTTCAGGGTTGTACTTCTAAGCTGGATACACTGCCCAGTGTTAATAAGTGTGTGTTAAAACAACAGCTACACAAACGTTTTCTAACGTTAGTTTCCAAAAATTGTGGAAAGGCCTTTTAATTTAAAGATTCATAAAAACAATGTTGTATAATATTTTTGCATGACGTTTCTGTGTATTTCTTTCGTTTCTTCCATTGTATAACTTAAATACTTTTGTTGCTTAATTATTGCCAACAACTTAAACACTGCTTTCAGAATATTTTAATGTTATGTATGTGAAGTAATATTTGCTTTCATCAATTACTAAATCTACATTAGACTTTTAACCTGGTAAAATGTATATTGCAGTTTTTCTAAAAATCTAACCTTAACCTAAGTCTAATTTTAACCTGGTATAAGAATTACAGTTCATGTAAAAGTCTGCGAGAAGGTAAGGTAAGGTACAAAAGTTGATAGAGGGTGGCAGTTATGATGAGTGTAAAAGACAGTAAATTGCTTACTGTTCATGCTAATGAGAAACCTTATTCTTGTAGTGTATGTCATAAGAGTTATTCACAGAAGACCTATCTGACTAGGCACACTCGCATTCATTATGATGAAAAACCTTATTCTTGTTATGTGTGTGAAAAACGTTTTTTATTTAAGCATCATCTAACTCTACACTTCCGCATTCATACCGGAGAGAAACCTCATTTTTGTAGTGTGTGTAATAAAAGTTTTGCAAGATCAGACAATCTAGTTAGCCACAGTCGCACTCATACTACTGAAAAACCTTATTCTTGTGGTGTGTGTAAAAGAAGTTTTTCTGATAAGACCTATCTAAAAAAGCACAGTCGCATTCATACTGGTGAAAAACCTTATTCTTGTAATGTGTGCAATAAAAATTTTTCACTTAAGCGATATCTAACTATACACTATCGCATACATACCGGGGAGAAACCTTACTCTTGTAGTGTATGTAATAAAAACTTTTCAAGGTCTGAACATCTAAGTGAACACAGTCGCACTCATACTGGTGAAAAGCCTTTTTCTTGTAATGTTTGTAATAAGAGTTTTTCAAATAAGCAATATCTTACTCGACACAGATTCACTCATACTGGCTTGAAACTTTATTCTTGTAATATATGTAATAAAAGGTTTTCATTTAAGAGAAATCTGACAGATCATGAAAGCGTTCATTCTGATGAGAAACCTTATTCTTGTAGTGTGTGTAATAAAAGTTTTTCGCTGAAGAAATTTCTAACTAGACACAGTCACACTCATATTGATCATAAACCTTATTCTAACAAAACTTTTTCATGTGAGAGTACACTGTCTGAACACAGTCACGTTCATACTGGTGAGAAACCTTATCCTGTAGTGCATGTTATAAAAGTTTTTGCCGAAAAAACATCTAACTAGAGACAGTGGCACTCATATCGTTACAAGACAGGAATCAGAAAAAATCTTATTCTTGTTACACGTTTTAAAAGAGTTTTCACAAAGTTTATATCAACTGTCCACGGTTTTGTTCAAACTGCTAACTAATTTTACTCTTGTAATGGATGTAATAAAAGTTTTTTACATTGTTTAGTGATATAGCTGTCTCTTGTTATTTTCATGGTGCTTAATAACCTAATTTGTAGTTTATGTAGCAAAATTTAATGAATTATGTAATTAAACTGTTACTGATAAATCACCACTTACTACTGAAAATTATCACAACTTAAGAATCTTTATGTTGTAGACATAATTTACATGAGGCTTAAATATGTAACAAATAGTGGTAAGGTTAAATACCGTATATTTGACTTCCAACCAACTGACAGTAATCAAAATAGAAAAGAGAAGAAAAAATAAAAACCTGGTTAAATATCTAAGTTTTCGATTATACAGTATATTATTTTTCAAAAACTACTTATTTGAAATCTCAGGAACTATTTGACCGATATATCTCAAATTTTGTATTTTGCCTTGTAAAATTATATTCTTTAAAGTGACATAAAAGATTATATACCTTACACTTCAAATTTTTCCGACTTAAAATAAAGTAATAAAGAAAGGTAAATATTTACTAAAAATTAATTTTTGCTCGGAATTATCTTTGGATAAGGTAATTTTATAATTGAGTGTAAAAAATTTTCTATTCGCTTAAGAAGCTCTCGAGATATGGCGAAGTAAACAAAAAGTGAAATTAACAATAAGCGGTCCTAACTAGTCAGTTCTCCTGACTAAATCATTGGGATGTCGACAGGGTCATTTCATCGACATATCATTTCGTCAACATGGTTATTTTGACGACAGGGTCATTTAGTCGACAAGTCATATCGTCAACATGGTCATTTCGTCGACGGGGTCATATCTTTGCCAAGGTTATTAAATCGACATGATCGTTTCATCGACAGGATCATTTCGTCGACAGGTTCATTTAGTCGACAAGTCATATCGTCAACATGGTCATTTCGTTGACAAGTCAATTCGTCGATAGGGTCATTTCATCGACATAGTCATTTCGTCGACAGGGTCATATCTTTGCCAAGGTTATTTCATCGACACGATCGTTTCATCGACAGGGTCCGTTCGCCGACAGGGTCATTTCATCGACAAATCATTTCGTCGACAGGGTTATTTCGTTGACAAGTCATTTCGCCGATATGGTCAATTCGTCGACAGGGTTATTTAGTCGACAAGTTATTTCGTCGACAGGGTCATATCTTTGCCAAGGTTATTACATCGACAGGGTAATTTCATCGACATGATCGTTTCATCGACAGGGTCATTTCATCGACGCATCATTTCGTGGACAAAAATGGCGCATAACGTTCTATTTCACTTCTGATCCTCGCACGAAACTCGGAGTTCTGATTCAATTCGCTTTTCGTTATTCAACATAACGAAACTAACATCGTCTTCGTAACTAGACGCTATCAACAGCTCCACAGGGGTCGCATTCACTTCATTCGTCCGCAAGTCATTTCGTCGACAGGGTCATATCTTTGCCAAGATTATTATATCGACAGGGTTATTTCGTCGACATGATCGTTTCATCGACAAGTCATTTCGTCGACAGGGTCATATCTTTGCCAAGGTTATTACATCGGCAGGGTAATTTCATCGACATGATCGTTTTATCGACGCATCATTTCGTCGACAAGGTTATTTTGACGACAGGGTCATTTCATCGACGCACCATTTCTTCGACAAGGTTATTTTGACGACAGGATCATTTCGTCAACAGGGTCATTTCGTCGACAGGATCATTTCGTTGACAGGGTCATTTCGTCGACAGGTTCATTTAGTCGACAAGTCATATCGTCAACATGGTCATTTCGTTGACAAGTCAATTCGTCGATAGGGTCATTTCGTCGACAAGTAATCGTCAACATGGTCATTTCGTCGACAGGGTCATTTCTTAGACAGGGTCATTTCGTCGACAATGTTAAGAAAAGACGTTTACATTAGACGTTATGCCTCTTGCACTTCATTGTAATTTAGTATATTTATGATGAAATTTTTTAAACCTAGCCTGATGCAAAATCTAATAGTATGTTGAAGTTGCCGGAAAAAAGCATATTATACGAAAATTGCGTACTCCTCAATTCACATCACGTTGCAAAAACGAAATATTAATTGTATTTTACACATCTAAGTTGTATATAACACAATTTTTTCCTAGTCATATGTAACGCATTTATTTCTAAGATTAATTTTTTATGTACATTATTGTAGATTATCATCATAAAAGCAATTGCAATAACTATTGTGAATGATTGTTGATGTAGGGAGGAAAAAAAGACGGTATATAATGAATCTGTGAGATAATAAAACCATGTGGTCGATAGGTAATTTCAATGACAAGCTCTTTTCGTTAACAGGCCATTTGAGCTGCAAAAATTTTCTGTCGATAAAAAGAAAATTATACTTATATAATGTTCCCCCACAATGAGTAATACGCATTAATACAGTTTAAAATCTTGTCAAAAAAAAAAGAGAAAGAAAAGGAACAAACTTTTACAATGATAGCAATGGTGATGTTTACAAAGAATTTAATCTGAAAAACACAAATCTTTTAGATAGTTAGCTAGTAAAATTACTTCTTGTTTTATCAAAAATTTATATACTCCCGGCGTTTAGATATTTACTTTTTTGATGATCGGTTGATTTTTTTTCATAGGCAAATAATCGCTAATTTTGTTACTATTGACATATTAATAAAGTTTTCATACATAAAATTTCAATATTTATATAATTTCTCTTTAAAAATAATATCGATAAAAGGAAAAAACAAACTAAGTTGTATGAGTGGCTATTAAGAAGGTTAGTGAGCGAAGAGAGAAAGGGGCAGAACTTCCTAGTCTATTATATATAATTCTCTTACGTGGCTCCCAAAGTTTGGCTGTATTTCTTTTCCGCCGGTGGCAACGTTTGCTTTGTTTTGTTTGCGTTTTGAAAGCACCAAAGCATTCTGCCTTTTAATGATGTGTTTCTGATCTAATATATATAATTCTCTTACGTGGCTCCCAAATTTTGGCTGAAGTACTTTGTACAGCTAAATAAGATTCTTTTCACCACACTTAAATATTTACTTTATTTTCTTCATATATCAGTCGGCAAAGAATTCTGTTAGGTTAAAAAACATTTCGCTAAAAAAATAACGAATTCTAAAAGAAATAAAAATAAACAACTTAAAAAATAAAAATGCTGTTGCCAGCCATAGAATTTTTTGAAAGTTAACTTAGCAACATAACTCAAAATGACATAGAAGCGTAACTAGATCAAAATTATGATACATGAGCGCTTGACGTGACAAATCCTTCAATTCTATAAGTGTTGTATCGCCAAATGCCCAAATTAACAATTGTGTTTTTAAAGAAGTTCTATAAAAAGTTTTAAATAAACAACCTACTTCTACAACTGTTTCTTGAAGAACTTGGCTCATTGATTAAAAATATTGTTTTAATTTTACAGTACTAACTTTACTTCTACTTTTATTATTGCTATGAGCCTGTTTCATTACATTTTACAACTTCATGCTAAATTTGAGGACTTTAAGTTGTTTTGTGGTTGAATACTGACGTTTAGAAATGTGTTCATAAAAAAAGTAATATTTAAGGTCTGGTTTCTTAGGACAAGCGCCTTATCTGGGCGTCAGCGTGACGTCAACGTCCCGCTGACGCCAACAAAATACTGGTTTGTTAGCTCAAGGCCTGGTTTCTTAGAACTAGCGCCTTATCTGGGNTTCTCCAGGTCATCCTAGGTATGTTAAAATGGTATAGGTATGTGTAAAATTTTAAATATAGTTTAAGTAAACTAAGAAATATTGAGAAAAAAAAAAACCTTGCTTAAATTTTTTCTAATTTTTCAATTTAAACCGTTTTTTTTTTAAATCGAGAAATTTTCCGGAATTTTAACTTGGGCTCACAATCACCCCTGGGCTTGACTTTTTGTTAATTTTCTTTTAAACAAAAACTAATTTAAATCCTGCAATTAAAAAATGAATTAATTCATCATTTATTTACTACTATTATTATTCTTATTAAATTATTCTAAATAATAATTGTATAATCCAAAAATAGTATAATTTGATAGTATTAGACAGAATTTAATAATTAATACTATTATTAAATTCACTATTCAAAGAAAAAACCTATTTTGGAAAGAGCAAACACTAACACGCTTGCAATGTTATGCCTGTGCTTCTAAACATTTTTGGTAAGGTCAGTAGCACTTTAAATATTGTAGGAATGTCGACGAAACCCTGACCCTGTCTACGAAATGGCTTGTCGAAGAAATGACCATATCGACGAAATGACTTGTCGACGAAATGACTTGTCGCCTAAATGACCCTGTCGACGAAATGATTCTGCCGATGTCGACGAAATGACCCTATCGACGAAATGACTTGTCAACGAAATGACGCTGTCGACAAAATAATCCTGTCGACGAAATGATTTATCGATGAAATGACCCTGTCGACGAAATGACCCTGTCGATGTAATAACCTTGGCAAAGATATGACCCTGTCGACGAAATGACTTGTCGATGAAATGATCCTGTCGAAAAAATAACGTTGTCGATGAAATGACCCTGTCGATGAAACGATCATGTTGATGAAACGATCATGTCGATGAAATAACCTTGGCATAGATATGATTCTGTCGACGAAATGACCCTGTTGATGAAATTACTTGTAGACGAAATGATCCTGTCGACGAAATGACCCTGTTGAGGAAATGACCCTGTAGACGAAATGATCCTGTCGATGAAATGACTTGTCGACGAACTGGCCTGTCGAAGAAACGGCCTGTCGACGAAATGACCTAGTCGATGAAATGGTCTGTCGATGAACTGAACCAGACCCCACCGGACGAAATCAAAATCGCCTCCGTCAGCGCGGTGACAGCGTTAGCGTAGGCAAGGATTCGCACATGTTAAACCGCGATAGCGTTGTCTTACATGACGATGGCTTAAATCAGATTTCTGATGCATCGCCTAAAACGAGAGTCACTCTCTGCAGCTTAAATCAAATTTCTGATGCATCGAAAATGAACGTCACTATCAGCTGCTTAAATCAGATTTCTGATGCATCGCCTAAAA